AATAACACAATGGCGGGATGTATAAGTACCGAGCCACGCCAAAAGGATATTACCAAAAATAAACTAAACAGTCAAGGTTAATAATGTAAAAAGACAAATAAAAGAACACTATAACACGTAATCACGAAGATAAACAACGTCAATACCTAGAATCTATACTTCAAGACCATTATGTATTATTTGTGAAGTTGATACGGAATATTTATCAACAAGGTCTTGGTATCTTCCGATGAACTTTTTTAGAAAAAGGACGAGACGTTCTTTGACATTACCCTGGTTCATCAACTTTCTGCTCAGACACTGGTGACGTTTAATGATTGGTTCATGCTACTTAAAAAAAATCTTTACACATCGTTAACTATTTTGTAGCCTTTTTAAAAGTCTTGCACCAATATTGGTTTCTATGTTTCCACAGTGGCAATAAATATCAAGCTTTCTATCGTGTTCTCCATCAAAAGGCTTCAATGTTAGTACCATAGCACACAAAAAAAAAAAAAGATTTTGTGTGTTCACAACTTTGCGGTTGTGATCTTGGGGACAAGAATTCACTGATTGCTGATACTAAAGATAGTGTCTGAAGTTCTATTCAGTGAAGTTAAGAATATATTCAAATTAAGGTTAACTACATTCTATATATTCTCCCACAGTAATGTGTGCTGTTAAGAAAGAGTTATATTCCTGTTGAACTTTATCTTCGGCTGGATTATGTTGTTTTTCTAATAGTGGAATTTCATACTGAATTTTGCCTGATTTTGTTATGTTTTTTTACAAAGAAGGTCTATCGTCTCCTGTAGTTTCTGGTTGTTTTCATATCTGAGTATCAATTAAAATGTCGGATAAGATTTGAATAGTCCATTCTGCTGTGCAACAGTGGCTGGTATACAGCATGACCCATCATTGCGTTTTCGTATTTAGAATGTGAAGTGTCTGTTTCTCATACTATTCCATATACGCATCAACCTCTGAGATGTGTGTCTCTTGCCTTCCCTAGTTGGAAAAAAATGTTCTTTTAAGTGTCTCTTTAGAATCTCAATTTTCTAATCTGTGACAGGATCTGGTATTTTCTAAAGTATTTCCTTTCGGTTTCAGTTTCAGAAATCTATTTAGTACAATTAACTCTAAATTCAGTTCGTTTTTGTTAAGTCTTTTGGTTTTGGTACTGTTTTTTAAATTCATTTTCAAGTGTTATACTGCCACATTTCTCATTGTGATAATCAAGGTTGAAAAAGATAAAGTGTAAGGTCATCGTGTTAATAAAGCATACTGTTTGGATTCTTGTCCGACGTTATATCACACAGGATAGGCACTGACTTATTAAAGCATTGATTGTATAAGGCGGCGGTGGTTTAGATCTTGGTTTTATGTAGATGGTTTTGTTATTGATTTTCTAATCATATCAGTTAAGAGTCCTAATGAAGACTGGTATAGACCTGCTGAGGTCAATCATATAATTCGCATAATTTTGTAATTGGAAAAACACGGGAATGACTTAGATTGTGTTTCCGATCAGCGAACTCTTATTAAAATGTAACTACATGTATGTATAGCAAAGTCTTTATGAACTAGCATGGGATCTTCGCATTAAATACAACCCATGTCCAGTAAACCAAGACGCCAAGGCAAAAACTCTTGTTTCTATAACTTTTTATAATGTATTCTTTCTACACCATTTAAATCTTTGCTCTTCGAGTATAATAAAAATTATCTAGCGACACTTGAACTAATTCAGAGGAGAGCAGCAAGGTTCGTCTATAATCAGTACACATCACATACTAGAAGCGCTGAATTAGGACACAAAGAAAATGTGCCATGATAACAGGCTATGCATATATATAAATATGCTCCATCGAATACATAACGAGCTGATTTACATCGACTCAAATGTTGCGACAGTAGAACTCGTGTGGGCACAAGCAATATCAACAGACGGTCATCAATGTCTACAGGAAATCAAAAATAATCATTGAATGGAATACGATACTTGCTAAAGTTGCTGACGTGTACGTGGGATCTCTAGAAGATTTCTGCTTATGGCTACAGACCACACAATAATGTCAGACTAGACAATGGAAATAGGTTTCATTCTACATTCCCTTATCGACGAACTTTGTTTTTGTCACCATGTGTAGTCCCTGAATGTTTCAATATTACATATCGAACAAAGGTCTTATATTGAAATTTTATAAATCTCAGAAATTATTTCAAATAAATTTAACAAGAATACGTTTCCCAGATCGCACTATCATATTTCCATGTTCATTGAAACTTCGAAATTTAAATCCAAGCCCTTTCTTTGCATATATTTCAAAACTTCCCAATCATGATGAACATTAAGTTTCAAGCTGATGTGACTAACCGTTAAACCAAAACTTTGACCTGATCATAGAACCTGAAATCTAAGTCAATAACTAAATTATGCATTTTTTTAAGATGACGTGATAATGAACATGTGTACTAAGTTTCAAATTCATCGAAACCACAACTTCATGGTAATATTCATTAAATCAATTAATCATTTATCATTTATTTTGGAGATTTATAATAAGAACTCAAATGGACTTTATATTGATAAGTTATAAAATACAACCATACAATGGCATCTTCGTAATAAATTTTATTTACACATCTCAAATTATATTCGTATCAAAATGGTTTACTCCGTTAAAACTCAAAATACTGGCGCTAATGGATATACTAAAACATTTCATCAGCTCTTGATCAGCTAAGCAATGCAAGCGAAATGCCTCCTGTTAGGGGAATGATATCTGTTGATTTAAGCAAATATAATTCCTATAACCAATTAATATATTTTTTGCCAATGTGTAGTTCCCTTTCACTTAAAAATACTTCATTACTATATCATAATTATAAATCATGATGTTGGCATTAATCAAACGTTTGTCAAACAATGTTAATTTCTCATAATTTCCTATGAGTAATTTTTTAAACAAATATAACTGTACAGTTCTTGCATGGAAATTATTACTGATGTGCAATAAAACTCATTATAGATATATAAATGATTTCTGCATGAAAAGTAATGAGTAGATATCATGATAAGGAATCATATATCAGTTCCTTCTTTATGAACAATGTAGAAACATTGAAGTATTGTCAAGATATTATGTCCATGGTAGAACTAATTTTCTTGGTTATATTCACTTATTATCGAAAAAAATACGATGTGCTTTCTAAGAATTCATTTGTTTACTCTGATGTATTCTATACTCTTCACATAGACAATTGAAACAAACAAATTATCAACATATTAAAGATGATCATCAGACTACATAAATACACAGCTGGGGTTTATCAAGTACAATGATTGGTTAGCATCCTAAGATACCAATCATAACAACGAATTAAAGAACAGGGTTGCAGAATTAATGATATCAACCTTAATTGGTTAAATGAAACTTCCAGGAGACGGTAATTAAGTGTGTAAGCAAATTGCAAAAAGCAAGTTCCCCTGTATTAATACTTTATTTAATTTAAATAAACACAAATACCAAATATAAAGTCCCAAGATTTGTATAAATGGATGCATTTTTCTAATGACCTAGAGTTCTATAAGGGCAACATTGGTTTCAGTTTGCATCACCATAACAAATGTTAAAATAACAACATTGAAATACATTTATAGAACATGTGGAACAGGTAAGATTATTACATCATTTTTCCAACAGAGATCTATGTTAAAATATTCCTCCTGTGATTGCCATCTTGAATTTGAAATCGGCTACAACATTTCAGGATTGGTAGAGCAGCAAATAAATTTTTCTTATAAACTTCAATATGCACAGTTTTTTCCAACTAGATTTGGTCATTTAGAACCCACAATTTGACTTAGCAGCCACACTAAATTTTTTATTCAAACAAAAATCTGAATTTCTTGCGATGACCATCTAAAACAATAATCCCATGCTTCTTTTCATTATCATGTCAATTTCTAAAAGAAAATATAAGTATGTATTTTCCATAGTTACCTATGTTAAACCATAGTTCATGATGATGGAAATCTTGGATTCCTGATCAGGATTAAAATAAAAAAATTCAGGTTGGATTCATGTAATAATAACATTAATCACACCTATATATGTAACAGTTGTAAAAAGAAGCTTAACATGTTGTCCCCATAGAGTAATATGTAAAACTATGTTCCTAGAAGACAATTGAATCACCAAGGCATTATACATGTGTTTTATCATATTTTTGAAATGTGTCTGCAGCAGATGCTCTTATCATGTTTCTCTGTTACAGTTCTTATGTGATAGTCTTCTTGCATTTCAGATAAGAATCAAATTCAAAACAAAACTTTTAGCATGAAGAATAATTATGTATTCTTTCAAGTTATTTCCAAGAAGCACATAGCTTCCAGAATTCTATGCTTAACTCTGTGTTATGCTAGAAGTCTTCTTTGACTCACATATGTCTCAGAATACATAAATTTATTAAGGACCATTGAATCATCAGCCATGCATAATATTTTATAAAATCTGTGAAATGTTCTTATAAGAAAATCGATTTTGGAAATGTTTTTAAAATGTTTACCAACAGAAAGGTGATGAATCTTAAGTTATACTGTACATATGGGCCAGGTGAGCTAAAAAGAAATCAACACATTGTAAAAAAGAACATGGGTGTATTTAAACATGAAATGAAAGCAAATAAAAAGATGCAATTATCATGTGAATTTGGGGATTTATGGACAAAGTATATAATATATCTTTTAAGTTGGATTGGTGGGGCCTCGGTTATTAAGTAGTCGAACTACTGTATCACTAGCCTGTCAACACTGAGGTTGGGAGTTCGAATCCCACATGTGGAAGGTGTGCTCAAATCCAATCTTAATAGAATAGAATTGTCAGGTTTCCAACTGAAGGTTGGTGGTTCTCTCAGGCTTCCTCCATCAATAAAAACTGACCACCACGAAATGGCACAACAGTGCTAAAAGTGGCTTTAAACACAAATCAATCAAGTTGGATGGATAAAAAGAACAATAATATTTAACTTTTATTAACAATGAAAATGAAAAAAACAATCCTCTAATAATGAACAAAATGACAACATAAAAAGTTTAATATCAGAAGTTCCTTCAGATTCATGCATAAATATCATGTATACTCAAAGATTGTACCATCTCTTGATGTCTGGTTTTACAAGATACCTGGATTTTTAAAAAGATTGTACAATAATATTGACAAATGCATAACAATGTATCTGTGTTTTGATGTGATTGTTAAAATAAATGGGATTAAACATGGCATCAATTTGAAAGTTATACATCTACTCCTTTAAAGGATCTCCAAAATATATCCATCTTAAAAGTTCTAGCCAACAGAACAGAAATGAATATTACCTTCAAAATAAGTATAATAGTATGTTTAAATAACTATAGAAAAATATATTCCACCAACTGTATAATGCATAAAATTATGATAATGAAAATTTTATATACATGCATGAATATACTTGAAAAATATTACTGTAAACAATTTAATATAATAATCTTAAAATCAAATGCCAATCTCAAGTGATCATGTATAAATAAGGTATAGATGACGAAGGATAAAGAAAGAAATATGTAGTCTGCCAAAAAAGATGTCTTAACATTCAAATGCACAACTATAATGTGTATACAATGTACAACAAATTGCAAAATATTTCAATGGGCTATATATTGACAATTAAGTGTGCATATTTCACAGTTTTTCCAGATGTATCAGGACATAGCAACTAGTAAACAAAAACATTCTGTTCTGACCTTTGTAGATCTTTTCAGATTGTGTGCGAGTGCGAGAACTGCATCAAATATTTCAAAAATCACAAAAATCGAACTTTAAAAAAAAATTATTACCAGAGAACCTGACATTAACAATCACAAAATCAACAGTTATCCAACTAGTACAAACTTTTGTTTGCCCATGGCATAAAAAAAAAACTAAGAAATTTGTTCTGAAAATTAGTTATATGTTGTTCCTTTAAATGTACTATCATGGAAAAAATCCTTCATCATCTGTTATTACATATGTCAATTAGGCAAAATTAAGGACTTTTGGATGTAATTTACTAATCAATGTCTCTGATCTAACATAAATCATTTGTTATCTCTTCTACCCTATAAAATACATATATTGTAGCTTAAAAAGGACAATGAAACAGGTACATAAATATGATTGTCTCTCTTATTCAAGAGGTAAAATGCTTTAAAATAATACAATCACAAAATGAGATAGAAAAAAACATAAGACAAAATATTGTCATACTAAACAGATATAAATCTTCTAGTTGACTTGGGTTTGTTAATTATCATCGGTCTGAAGTCACTCAAATATTTATTTATTAATTTGTGGCTTAAGGAACCAAAAGTTTACCATCTTTAAGATTCAGGTAGTCTTTTTTTAAATGTCAATAATATGTAAATAATTCATGCCGTTCTCACCTATTCATAAATAAAAACTGTCTTTGTTGTTGGTTAAGAAATTAATGAAGATGTAATCTGTTTCTATGTCAACATGGTAACTTATATCCAAACATTTATTTCAATATGTGTAAAAGGTTTAAATTAATACTAAAACTTGAAAAATAAATACAAAATAAAAATGAGGTAATGACATGGTTTCATCCTGTTTTTTCTAAAATAAAATGAACAAAGAAATTAATTAAATACATCATAAATTAAAAAGAGTATTTCATGTGAAAACTATTTATGAAAACAGAGAAATAAAATAAGAATTATCATGCTTCAACAAAGTAAAATATATAGCGTGTGTTGCGTTCTCTTAATTTAGCTTTATCACTCAAAGTGAAAAGTTTGAGGAGCAAAGAAGAATAAACACATGGAGAACTATAAAACAAAATGGATCTAAAAGAACAAACAATTTCAAAAGTCTGCATGCATCAAATTTGTATTGCATGAAACTCTGAAATTCTACATTAAAGATGTATGCTTGAAAAAACTAGTTTGCACTAATATGATGAACAGTATAACTTATATTACAATATATCTTAGACAAAAACCAACAATTTTTCTGTTAAAATGTGTTTTTAGTTTTCAGTTAAATAATATTTCTTCGGGAAAGAAATGGTTTGAAAAGATAATTCCAGCATAAGGGTTGATTATGTGAGGTGGAATGAAACTTCATATTTAATGAAGATAATGAAAAGAAAACTAACCTAACATTAACTGAAAATGATAACAATAGCGATCTGTCAGATGCTTATATTTATTTCATTAAGAGCAGAGAGAACTGCAGTGACATTTAACTGTAGTGTATATAAAAAATCATGCACTTTGTACATTTTTATTTGTATGAAATATCACAAGTATAATTAATATTATGTCATAAATAAATTACAGTATTTTTTATAATAAATTTTGTCGCATGTTTGTCATAATATCACAAATGTCATGCACTTAACAGGTTTTCCACATTTTACTTACAGGGATTTGACACGCACACACTTGATTCACCTTGGTATATAAAACAAAGATTTGTTATCTACGCTCCGTATCAGCTTATGTAATGATTGCATAATGTATGAACATTTATCAAGGTTGGGTTTTCAGAATCTGGTTGAACTAAAGTAAAGAATAAATCAGTTGCTAGCAATTCGATAAAAATTTTACTGCATATATATAACTATAAATATCTATGAGCAAAGTGAGCTATAACTGCATACTGTGTATATGTAACTAAAACGTTTACAACTAAATACTTAACACTACTACCAATAAAAAAGATGACACCATCTGAAAAATTATATGTGAAATAAAATATAACTAGATCTAGATAAAAATTTGAAGCTTTTCTATTCCAATTTATGTAGTTTTTGAGAAAAATTAAAATGAGTAGAAATGACTGAATGAAACAATTGTCTTTCCTTGTTTGCTCTTTGTTCTTACTCCTAAATGCTGAGTGCTTTACACAGAAGCAGTAAATACCAATTTTTTAAGTCAAACTAAGGAAAAAATACTACCATGAAACCAGCGATGTTTTACTGTTATAAGCTATAAGAGATGGAAGAATTTGAGTCAATCATTTACTGTATATCATTTCTTCTTTTCTGTATCAATATCGTTTAGTTAATGAAAAGAAAATAAACTTGCATATTATTTTTTATGGCAGAATTTTAACAATGAGCAATAAAAGATATTTAACATTTCATCCAACTGGATATTAATTAAAGTCTAGTTTAAATTGCATCAAATCAAATTTAATTTTTTGAACCAAGATAAATGAATGTAAAATACTCCATATTTTACAAACATGACAATTTATGCATAAATAGCTGTGAATCTTGAAAAGATTGCATAAAAAAACTAAGAAGCATCTTTTCACAGTATATCAGTGAAATCACCGAGATTTTTTATACTGAAATGTATCACTAAATTGAAATCATACAACTGATTTAATATCAATACAAAATAAGTGTTTCAGTTATAATTGAAAAACAATAAAATGACATTACTACCCCTCCCCCTAGTAATAAACTGCTTCGCTGAGCGCAGTTAGATACGCCCGCAGAGGTCCAACCCTGAACAGTTGGGGCAAAAATGGACACAATATTCAAGCTTGATTCAGGTCTGAATTTGGATTGTAATTAAATATTTGACATATTATAGGTTTCTGAATAAATGTAGTCAAAGATCTTGAAATTGGTTATATGAATTGAATGTATATTCAATTAAAGATTTCTTGCTGTTGTGCAATACTTGGTAAATCTGTTGTCAGACTATAAACAAATAAAGTTCAATTAACTCTCAATGTCATATTAGAAATTTATGAAAATAAAAGGGAGCTTACATCAAAGATATAAACAATTCACCAAAGTTTCATGAGAATTGGTGACAGCATTTTTGAGTTATTGTCCGAAAACTGGAAAATCACCCCTTTTTTTAATGAATAAAACCCCATAACTCAGAAACGTAAAATGTAAAATTTATAAAATTCTGAAGGGAGCTTACATCAATACATACAAACAATTCACCAAAGTTTCATAAGAATTGCTAAAAGCATTTTTGAGTTTTTGTCCGAAAACTGGAAAATCCCCCCTTTTTTTATGAATAAAACCCTGTAACTCGGAAACGTAAAACCTTAAATTTATAAAAATTGAAAGGGAGCTCATGTCAATAGATATAAACAATTCACCACAATTTCTTGCAAGTTGGTAAAAGCATTCTTGACTTATTGTCCGAAAACTGGAAAATCCCCCTTTTTTTAATGAATAAAACCCCATAACTCGGAAACGTAAAATCTAAATTTTATATATAACGAAAGGGAGCTCACGTCAATAGATATAAACAATTCACCAAAGTTTTATGCAAATTGGTTTAAGCATTTTTGAGTTAATGTCCGACATGTTGACGACGGACGGACAAACGGACGGACAGACAGACAACGGTATACCATAATACGTCCCGTAAACGGGCGTATATAAATGGTTTAATTCTTGAAGAAAAGAAAGATTTTGTTCTGTGAAATAAACACAAAACGAATGGTTTTCAAATGTATAAAGGGTAATAATGTAAATATATAAATAAACTAAGATTAATTCATAAAATTTAAAATAAAATCAACAAATGCATCCATAACACATAGTAAACTTATATCATAACACACAAAACACTAACATAACAATACAGTAAGTAAAGATATGCCACTTTTCAACACTATTTCTGCCATTCAAATTGATCTTTAGAAGTAAATGAACAATGTGATAATTTCACAATTCTATACTCATTCATAACATCATAGATAGAATTAAAAGCATACTTAATTGATAAAATGCAATGCATAAAAAGCATGGTTGCAGTATGTAATACATCACAATTCTCTTACACCTCCCCTTTTCATGAAACATGTTCATAAATCTAGTTTCAAACCATTATCTGATAAAGGTCTTAGTAACCAGTTCACATTTAAAATAAACTGACCATGAAAAGTTGAAGATGTTATTTAGTAAAATTAGTGATATCTAATTTATGATTTTAATCCTTTTTCTGTAGATGTTTCATATTATCCAATTTATGTTTTTTTCATTCTTTTTCTATAAATGTTTCAGAAGATACAGCCAAAGACTCACAAAAAGAATTTATGTAATAAATTTTTCAAACATTTCTAGTGAAAACCAGATAATATTGAACAAATTATTTTCATATTCATAATAGTACTTTGGCATATATTTTTAAAAGTTTTGGAGTGATTGAAGAAAGCAAGAGAGAGAGAAAGGGGAATGAAATGGGAATACAGAGAAAAGGGGAAAACTAGTGACCTCCCCCCATTTAATCCAGTAAAAAATGTTCACAAATATATAACTGAGTACTAATATCTATAACATTATAAAGTCATTGAATACAATAATTTACAGGAAACTTTGATGTAGGAAACTAAGAAATTATAGTCCAGTGTAAATTATATTTCAAAATGTTATTTCTATTTTAAATAATAAAAGTGTATCAAGAATTATTAAAATGCCATCTGCATATGTCTATGGTTAAAGGTTTTTTTCCTGTCATATGTAAAAATATAAATATCAATAAAAGTATTATATGTTGAAAGTATTGTTATTTTCCTATCTCAAAATGAATATTATTTAACAATCAGTATTTTCTACCAGCTGTTACTAGCCATTTATTTACTATTCATATTACAAAATCTCATCTTAATAACAATATCTTGCATGTTAATATCAGTACAACTGAACCTTACCCTAGATGACTTGAGCATCTACAATAAATTACCCATACAACATGTTTTTATCATCAGTGACCATTTTGTTGTACACTTTTAACTTCATCTTCTGGTAGACTATTTGCTTCCTCTTCTAAAGCTAAAATCTGATCATAACTCATCTGTTCACAGCTACCACCTCGCCGTAACTTGATCAGAGCACATATTTTCTCCCAGTGTCTATGATTTTCTTTGACAGTATTATGTACAACTTTAGCTTCCACAAATAAATCTTGTAATACTCTGGAATTCAAATGAAATTATATTTTCATTCAACATTTTGCAAGAGTGTTGAGCCAATATTTTAGACAGTCAATTTTAAATAGTAATTAGTTAAAAATCAAAATTATTGATATAATATTTGAAATAGCTCTCGCCGCGATATAGCCTTTTAGTGCTGATGCAGAGTAAAGTAACCACCAATCAATTGAATAGTAATAAAAAATGTTTAAAATTATCAATATAAAAGAACAGACTTCCAATGTCCCCCACATTGCTAATATTTCATCTATCCAAGGGCAATAACTAAGAAATCTTTTTTTTTTGTTATTTAAAACTTTCAACATATATCTTAGAGAAATGAAGCATTGATAGTAAATACTATGCAATTATCAATATATTCAATATTTCCAATGGCATAACTCCTTTAAAAATATTTGATCTTGTCCGAGACATTGCTTATATAAACCTTTGATATAAATTTGATAAAAATCTGGCAAGAACTGTACACATGAGAGCACCAACAATGAAATTTCCCATATAATTAATATTTCCAAGGGGCATAACTCTTTTAAAAATTGTTGATCTGCACTGATTTTCTAACTTGTCCAAGACATTGCTGATATAAGTTTTATAAAAATCTGGCAAGAATTGTACATGTGAGAGCACTAAAAAGACCGAACAGAGTCCCTGTATTTCTATGTCCCCACGCAACGCTTTGCACAGGGGACAAAAATGTAAAAACCATGCATATATATCAAATTCATCATTAAATAAATGGGGAATGTGTGCCCCCGCTTGCATATTATGTTATAAAGGAACATAACTCAAGAACTGTAAAAGTGACGCTTCCCAAATTTGTACTTGATCTGTGTTTTGTGGTAATAAGCATTGTGTATAAGTTTCATAACATTTGGTTGAGGCAAACACAAGTTAGAGAATGGAATAAAATAAACTGCTTCGCTGAGCGCAGCTGGATACGCCCGCAGAGGTCCAACCCTGAACAGTTGGGGCAAAAATGGACACAATATTCAAGCTTAATACAGGTCTGAATTTAGATTGTAATTAAATATTTGACATATTACAGGTTTCTGAATAAATGTAGTCAAAGAACTTGAAATTGGTTATATGAATTGAATTTATATTCAATTAAAGATTTCTTGCTGTTGTGCAATACACTGTGCTGTTGCGCAATACTTAGTAAATCTGTTGTCAGACTATAAACAAATAAAGTTCAATCAATTCTCAATGTCATATTAGAAATTTATGAAAATCAAAAGGGAGTTTACATCAATAGATATAAACAATTCACCAAAGTTTCATGAGAATTGGTGACAGCATTTTTGAGTTATTGTCCTAAAACTGGAAAATCCCCCCTTTTTTAATGAATAAAACCCCATAACTCAGAAATGTAAAATGTAAAATTTATAAAATTCTAAAGGGAGCTTACTTAAATAGATATAAACAATTCACCATAATTTCATAAGAACTGCTGAAAGCATTTTCGAGTTTTTGTCCGAAAACTGGAAAATCCCCCTTTTATATGAATAAAACCCTGTAACTCGGAAACGTAAAATCTAAAATTTATAAAAATCGAAATGGAGCTTATGTCAATAGATATAAACAATTCACCACAATTTCTTGCAAGTTGGTGAAAGCATTCTTGACTAATTGTCCGAAAACTGGAAAATCCCCCTTTTTTTAATGAATAAAACCCCATAACTCAGAAACGTCAAATTTAAAATTTATAAAAAACAAAAGGGAGCTCACGTCAATAGATATAAACAATTCACCAAAGTTTTATGCAAATTGGTTAAAGCGTTATGAGTTAATGTCCGACATGTTGACGACGGACAGACGGACGGACGGACAGATGGAAAACGGTATACCATAACACGTCCGGTAAACGGGTGTATAAAAATTCAACAATTTTTCCATTTGTAAAGGGCATAACTCTAGAACGGTAAAAGTGACGCCACCAAAATTCAAACCTGATCTGTGTTTTGTGGTAATAAGCATTGTGTATAAGTTTCATAACATTTGGTTGAGGCAAACTAAAGTTAGAGAACGGAAACAAAAAATTCAGCAATTTTTCCATTTGTAAAGGGGCATAACTCTAGAACTGTAAAAGTGACACCACCAAAATTCAAACTTGATCTGTGTTTTGTGGTAATAAGCATTGGGTATAAGTTTCATAACATTTGGTTGAGGCAAACTAAAGTTAGAGAACGGAAACCAATTTTGGGACGTACCGATGGACAAGGGTAAAACTTAATGCCCCCTCTGCTATGGCGGGGGCATAAAAAATCATGAATGTCATATATGAAAAAGGTAGAGTTCTTACAACTTAGGAAATTTACAGAATTGTGACCAGGATCTTTTTTACTTACCTATAAACAGGCAATGCTATATGATCTAGAAAACCAATTTGTAAATCTGGTATCCTAGCCTTTTCCCTATCCATCATCTCAGGAGGTGTTCTACCTAATGATTTCTCTAAATCTCCTTGAGAGAAAAATTCATTGTAGATTAAAGCCTACAAAACAGATAAATACTTCATTATGAATTCAATACTTCAAATACAAATGCTATAAAAAATTGATTTGAAAAGCTAAGTTAAATTTTTAAACACTGGCATAAATTAAAACTGAAACTATGAAAATTCTAAAAAGGGTACATTTAGGGTAATGTAATTTCATAAAAATATAAAGGCATGGGTTAAAACTTTAAGAAAATGTATCAAATATAATCTTAGGATAACAGCACATTTTAGAAACATTTTTTCACTAAATAAACATAGAGCATGTGTTGCTAAAAAACATTTGGCAAGCAAAATGATAAACACAAACAACTCTTCCTGTGTGAATATAACTGTATGTGGGGTTGTGCTCTTTATCATATCTCAACATTTATCACAAGTCAGTCAAGACTTTTTGCAATTTTGCCATTTAACTGAATTTATTGTCATTGCATAGCAATATAACTCATGAAAAGGGAAATAGTTTCACCTTCTGTCATGGCATGTAATAGCTGACTATAGGGTATAGGGTTTGCTCATTGCAGAAGGCAATCAAATTCATTTGGACTCTGCTGGATAGTTGTCTCATATCTCCTCATTTTATAAAAAAGAAAAACAGTGTCTTATCTAAGTAAATATATTCAATGTTTAATTCTGCAAACTGGAGAAACTTTGAAAAACTTTTGATTTTAGGGTCATTGAACCTAAAATATATCTCCTCAACTCCTACATGGTTCTTGACAATTTATATTCAAATAAAATTGCAACATCATTGCCAAATTTCCCCTGTCCAATATACATTGTAATTGTTTTACACATAAACTGCAGAACAATATCTACACACATACATTATTATCCAGTTTGAAGCTTTTGTAATTATTTCCTTAATTGTTGCAACTTCCATGGAAATGTAGCCATTTCTAAATGTGTTTTAATGCTATTCACCTGAAATATTAGTATAATGTCAAGATTTCAGGAACTAAGAAACATATATGAAACTTTTCGTTTCTTGTTGTACAGCAGATGTTATTCTAAACCACTTGTTAAGTAATGACTTACAGCGATATGTTTCGTTGAATCCCATGGCTTTGTTTGGTCAGAGAGATCTGATGCAGTCATTATTAAACATAACAATAGTTTTCTATGCTTAAGATTGGATTTTTCAAATTTATCTGTAATAAAAATGAATAATAAGATAATGAATCTATATTTATTTGCATTTCTATTTTGTATTACAGTAACTGATAATTCACTAAAACAAGACTAAGATGATGCCCCACCCTATGCAAAAATATAGTTCTGCAGCATTAGACTTAGCCAACAGTGATGTTGAAATAAAACTTAAAATGGTTGTTTTACTCTGTAAGGCACATTTGATAGCCCCATCATAGTTGTGATTTGGTTTATAAAGTTGGAAAATTAAGTTGTGTTGTTTAAACAGGAGGTAAAAAAAAGGTGAATGGTAATAATACAATTTGTACATAGTAAGTGCAATAAGGTCTCTGAAACTATAGAATGTTGCTTTGACTATATGCTTGAATATCTTAAAAATTATGTAATTGACTCATTGATGACTCTTTTGCTTTGTGTACCCTCTTATAATAACACCAGCTTTTTGAAGTGCAGGTAAGTGGTTTATAGTGATAGTCCTTTGATTTGTTTAATTTTTTTTTGTCATGAATACACCAGTGTATATCAATGTTCTCTTGTTTTTAACATGAATTGTTTCATTGTATTTTGTTGGATCATACTGGTTTTTGTATGAACCAGAGTTATTAGTTGAAATTAACTCACTCATTAAAATTTGCATACTAAAATTCTTACTTTATGCTTAAAGAATTTTTTGTCTAGGCACTGGCTAATAATTTTTTATTCTTATACTTGTCCATGGCATTTAAAAATTCTTTTTATTGGGTTGAGGGTTACTTGAGGTTAAATTTTTGTGTCAGTCCTTAAAACAATCAAGAAAATATGTTCATACAAGAAATCAGGGCAGGCACAAGTCTTTAAATAATTATAATTATTTTTTAGCAAACTGTTTAAATTATAACTTGTGTCTATTATATTGTAAGGGCTATTTCAGAACTAAACACACAAGGGCATGTGAAGCACTTTTTTAAGATCCGACCATCCTTGGATATAAAAATTTTCATTTTTAGTTATAATTCTTAATACAAAATTCTAAGGAAAATGCGACCACCTATATTCAATTAATTTGAGCGCCTCCCATCCCCATACCATAAAATATTGGAACAGCCCTAACATCAGATCAAGGGTGAATCTTCAAACTTTTAGGGCAATTTTACTTCACTTTTAAGATGCTGAGAGAACAAAGTTCAAGCAGGTCTGTCACTGAAGTCACTCACTATCATGTGCCCTGATTATTACCTTTTGCCATAGCTTCAATATTCTTTAGAATCTTTAAATGATGAGCCAAATCAGTTGCTAAAATAATATCTCTCATCAAGTCTAAAACATGTTGATAATCCTAAAATAAAAGGACTATTATCAAACACTTTTCAACTCATGAATAAATTCGGTGTACATTTGTAAAATAAACCATTTTTTTATTTCAGAGAATAGAGTGAGTGGTGTAAAAATTTTTTTTTTCAGTTTCTGCAAACTATTTTTTTTTTCACAATTCAATTTAGATTGGCTGTTGCAATAAGTCTAGTTTTTGACTCCTGAACCATGCAAATGGGTCATACCATACTTTGTTGGATAGTATTGAGTCAAATACATAGTCTTATTTTAAAATAAGAATCTTCTTATTTGGTATGTTTTGTTTATTTTCATACTGAGACTAATGATGTTATTTGTTTATTCTGTCTTTAAAATACACTTACCTTGCTTATTAAATTTTCATATATATTGCATCCTTCAGTATTTACTATACACATAGTTTGAGCAAAATGATGTCTCTGAAATAGATACAAAAAATATCAACTAACATATTCATTCTGCATCTCTTGAAAACATTTATGCCATAACATGTGTATAAGATACACCAATAAAGGCATTAGCTTGATTGGGTGTATCTAATTTACACCAAGATAGTATGGTTAATGCAAATTGGTAGATTTCAGTAATTTAGGAGGGGTTGTGTTCAACAACTGTGTAAAATATCCTACACATTGACAGACAGATGAAAGACAAACAGAAAGACAGAGGAAGGACATGCAGATTCCTATACACTCCACCAAATTTGTGTTTCTAGTTGGGAGTAAAACATACAAAAGAATGCAACCATATACAATTATGGCTTGTAGAAAAGGTAAAATAAGTATTTAGGGTTGATAAATTTGGATATTCATAGATTAAGAGGGGCTAGAACTGTTTTTTTTAAAAGGGACATTTATGAGGGATATCCTAGGCACTAGATAAATTTCCAAGCCTTGTTTCCTCAACACTTGATGGCTTCTCTGGCAGTTGCCATTTTGTGTACACATGCCTGCGATGTCATTTTGATGGGAGATAACTTGTGAACAAATCAAGAAGCTCAAAGGGTTATTCAATGGTGATTAATAGGGTAATTCATCGCTAGGTATAAATTTTTAGGGTAATTTGTCCTTCCTTGGATTCATATGAAAATTATCTGAATTATTCCATGTCACTTGATAATGTGTTACCCAATAAAATTGTTTATTATACATGTAAGGTATAATAATAGCACATATCTCCCTGTTTCTATCCCTAGAATAATCAAAATCTGTGAGTAAAATACCCTTACTGAATAAAGTTTAAAAATCCTTAAACAGAGTTATCATGATGCAGGGAAATGTTTTAATCACTTGTATATTTGAGATATAGTTTATATTTCTAAACTATATATGATCAGTCAATGATGTCAAAATAACCATTTGGCAGGTGAAAGGCAAAAATGTGGAGTCTGACTCTGAGTCAAAAATACTGACCCAAAACAATAATTATGACAAATCTTAATCTCATGTTTTTATTATTTAATATGTATTCTGAATATAATTGCTTTTCCTTTTTCTATTTATTATCCTTTATTCAACATGTTCTTTCTCATACCAACAAAATCTTACAGTAGTTAACAACTGGTGCCCTCTACTTACTGGAAATAAGAGCAAAATTAAGGACCAGAATGACAGAAGATTTCATTGTTTTTTTAGTATAACATGCCATCACATGTCATTTCTTACCTCTAACACAGCACCTTCTGAACTGTATAGAGCTGCCAGTACTGATTTCTATAATATAACAGACAGTATGTGATTATTGTATTGATACCTACAAGCAAGACCAATGTTTGTTTCATGAAAGAATATCAATATGATCATAAATCTATGTTTCCTATTTTAATGTGTACTCAAATCATATATGTACTGGTTGTCTATCTTTATATAGGAAATAACAAATAGTAGTTCTCCATTTGAATCATTCAACAGTTTAATTGTATGTATTTATGCTTCATAAACTTATGTTTTAATTCTATAGTAATAAAAAGTATTGGGAGAAATTCATTTGATGAATAAGAAATATAGATCCTAAAGACTTTTAAAAAAGCCCTATACTATATATATACATAAAGCTAGGGAATTTGAATTTTACTAGTAAAATGTTTTTCAGCAATTACATCCATTTAATTAAAAAAAAAAGATTTTTAAAAAGCCCTATATACCGTCTTTTGGGATGTATAGTGCGCACCCCTTTATGGTCCAAGAAACGTGAGAAAAAATGTTTATTGTTCGTATAAGACTCGTAGACATTTTCGGAAAAGTTACAGCTCCAAAATCGGCAAACAGGAAGTCTATCGGTAAACTGGAAGTTTTTTAAATGGACACCGATGTCAGAGAATTCCGTACGGAATACGTAATTGATATGAAATTGCAAATATTCTGACAAATGAGTAAGAATTTTATTAGATTGAGATAAATCTACATTTAAGTTTGTTTTTTTAAACCAAATTTAATAAATTGTTTGAGTATCAAGGACAAGATTAAATATCCAAATTAATGTTCTGATTGAAACAATAACATAATTACGAATCATTAACATCATTAGTGCTGTTATAAATTGTTAAAATCTCATTATTTTTATTTTTTGTTTGTCGATTCTAGCTGTTAATCCGGATTATCACACCTCAATCAACGGTCTAATCGTTGTCAAAACAAATCAGTGACATGTTCACTTTGTTCCTAATTAAATTCATTCAGGTTACAATTATGGGATTATCATGATTTCAATCATAATTTCTTCTTGAACAGTTTTAAACAGTTACTTAAAAGTTACAAAGTAGAAACGTATTTATAAAAATAAACTTCTCATAGACTAAATCATCACTTTACAATATCAAGTCACATGACTGACCCACATGACTGGCGATCACCTGATACATTAGAAAAAATGGCGGTTTATCTTTTCAAAACGAGCATGGTTTATTCAATTTTCATACACTTTTCTTCTACTCTCCATGATGAACACATACAAAAACAGTAAGTTATGACAACAAGGAACACAGAGACTAATTTAACCGACAACAAAAGCTTTATTGTGTCTTTATTAAGACATGGCAAATTTCCGGATTGCAAACAGATGGACACATTTACAGGATAAACGTAACTACAGAGATATAAAATGTATTTTATTTGAATAAAACATGACAAATCAAGAACAATAAGATACATATTACAAATATAACATGTAAAACATAAAAACAATCGAGGTTTTAGCAAAAATATTCCGTACTCTTCACTTCTCCTGGAAATTTCTTTGTCGGAGTTTGGACCTGAAAAAAGTCTTAAGAAAATGTCTGTAGGCATGTATAACGTGCACCCCTCTTACAAGAATCATGACCCAGGGTATAAATGTGTGCACTATACATACCAAAAGACGGTAATGGAATTTGAATTTTAATAGTAAAATATTTTTCAGCAAATACATCCATTTAATTATTCCTCACCATTGAAAAGTTTTATACTTTAAAAAAAAAGTATGTTTTCACATTATTGACAACTTACAGAAGCAACTTGATATGAATTATTTGTCCCTCTGTGATCAATATCATGGCAAAGGCAGGATACAAACAATGCAAACAATTCTATATCTCTGGAATAAAATATCATATTTAACAGAATAAAATATCATGTTTAGCAGAATAGAATACCAGATTTAACAGAATATTATTAGTTACATAGTGAGCTAGTGACCTAATACGATATATATGGGGTCAGTAAATTCCATATGGGGATTCTAGTGAAGCCCCATATGGAATTTACTGACCCCATATATATCGTATTAGGTCAGTGAAGCCCCATATGGAATTTACTGACCCCATATATATCGTATTAGGTCACTAGCACACTATGTCACGAATTTATTTTACCGACTATCTTAACATGTGGTATTTAGACTAGTGGCCTATCAAAGTGATCAAGTCATCAATACCGTTAGTAATAAGAACCTACTTCCATTGGTCTATACAAAAACAAATGCCAACAATAACAACTTGTTAGCTTTAAATGTGTTTTATGAGTTTATTTCAATCATTCATCATCAATTTCTTTGTCTGTTAAAACCTTTAGGATTTCTCCTGAACACCGTGTTGTTTTTATAAAGGGATGTAACACCACTACTAAACGTGTATTGAAATAAGCCCCACCTACTAACCCAATATGGAATATACACTGTCTCCACGCAGTTGCTTTTAACCAATCATATTTCTAGAAATGTTTAGGAGGTAAGATAAAATATCATATTTAACAGAATGGAATACCAGATTTAACAGAATGGAATATCATATTTAACAAAATAGAATATCATATTTAAATGAAAAGAATGTTATATTTAACAGAATAAAATATCATATTTAACAGAATAAAATATCATATTTAACAAAATAGAATATCATATTTAACTTAATAGAATATCATAGTTAACAGAATAGCATCATATTTGTCATAAAAAATACTATTTTTTTCACTTTTAAACTGCAAACATTTTTATTTCAAGAGGGTATGCTTAGAGGGACAGATGAGTACTATGATAACTAATTTTTCACCTATAAATGTGTTACAAATCATAGTGGAATAATATGCTAAAGCCAACTTACAAATTAAAAATAAGTGTTCTAGTGACCTTTCCCTATGACCTGCTGGCCACCAATAAATAGGCATATTCAACCTTCCCTATATCTATATCTGTAGAAGTTATTTTAATCGAACAAGGGAAACTCAATTTACCATCAGGAGAAGTTTCATTTTAATCAAACAAGGGAAACTCAATTTACCATCAGAAGAAGTTTCATTTTAATCAAACAAGGGAAACTTAATTTACCATCAGGAGAAGTTTCATTTTAATCAAACAAGGGAAACTCAATTTACCATCAGGAGAAGTTTCATTTTAATCAAACAAGGGAAACTCAATTAACCATCCGGACACCATTTTTCCAATTTTTTCCCCTCTTTTTAGTAACAGTGACCTTGATCTTTATTCTATTGACACCATAATCAATAGGCTTCTCCCCCTTCCCTATATCTTCTATCTTGTAAGTTTTAGTTCAAGAAAGAGATACTCAAGTTATCATCTGTAAATATTCAGGGAGCATAATATATGCAGAAATGAAAAGTTCATGTCTTGGTATGAGGAAACACCAAAAATCACCGGGATCAACAACAACAACAAAACATAATATATGTTGCACAACTTGATGTCCTTTGAAGAATCTGTGCAAGTTTGGTGGAATTATGTCCAGCTGTTGCATATTTACAGACTGATATATGCAAAAATGTCAACAATCTTTGTTTTGATTTGATAAACCAAACAATAAATTCAGATCAAAAATTAAAACAAGACGACAGAAATAATCCTAATGTAACACTGAGGACATTGCTGTCATGAGACACACCTTGATACTATTTAATAAAAAAAAATTCTACAGTAATGTTAGTATTGCATGGACTTTAAACTGCATAGTTTTTTCTTTTTTTGCTAAAATATTTTTATAAAACTTATACATGAAAAGTTAGCTTGACAAATATAATTGATGATATACTACTTACTCCATACATTCATTCAACTTAAAATTCTTTATACACAGATAACAGAAATGTGCTACTGCAAAGGCATGCATCCAATTATGATATGGTGGGTTTCTGTATCCTTTTTTTACCATCAATATAAATCTGTAATATATATAACACTTTCTTTATCACCAATAATAAATGTTAGCATATGACATATTGTCCTTACATATTTCCGTGAAAACAGTGGTTAAAACATATTAACATTAAATTTGACAGAATTTTCCTTCCATAATATTAACATTAAATTTGACAGAATTTTCCTTCCATAATATTAACATTAAATTTGACAGACTTTTCCTTCCATAATATTAACATTAAATTTGACAGACTTTTCCTTCCATAATATTAACATTAAATTTGACAGACTTTTACTAAATATTCATAACAAGTTAATAAATTCAACAAAACTATTCCGCACATATTAGTCTATACACACTAAATATTTTTTCAAACATTTGAATGGGAATGTCCAACATTTTTTAGAAAAGAAAAACTGCATACTAGAATTCAGTTTAATATCTGAAGGCACAACAAAACGCTGACAGTATATCAGACGATGGAAATGACAGACATACAGTCAAACCTGCCGTAAATGTCACCTCTTTTTTAAGTAAAAACCTGTCTTGTCAGTTCATCCTTTCCTTGTTCTGCATTGGAATACCTTTGCATTTTGATCCTCAATTCAAAGTTCATCTCTCTTATAAGGTCAGTTTTCTCTTGACCCGAGAGCCACCTTTATATGCAGGTTTGACTGTAATTCATTGTTGGTTGTTGGAACCATTTTAGTGCAGTGAACTTTAAAAAATTCTTTTACAATTTGATTATCTGCTTGCTTAGTACCTTGCAAGTGTATCTCGCTTTATTCTCCATCTTGATATAAATCCTAAATCTTCAAACATACTTAAACAGCACTGAAATGAAAAATAAGTAAGAAATTAAATAAAAAGAACATATAATTTCAAAACAGAATTTATTGTCAGAGTAAATGCCTATCAGTTATCTCTTGGTCCAAATACTTCATTGTCTACATAAAACAGTCTTTTGCTATTAATGAACAATGAACAAAATTTCACATGGAACTACCTGACTGAGTTACACACTAGATTTTATGGCATTCAGCGAAATACATTTCTATGAATTTTATCTTAACAATTCATACACAAGTATGCATTGCCCTTTCAAACCTTAATTCTTTTTCATTTGACTCCTAATCTAAGTGCAAGCTATTTTTCCTATTGTTAACTTACTCAAACTATTTAGGGCTATTCCATTAAAATGAATGCTCATGAAGGTAATCCAGAAAACTAATGTATAAATCATTATTTTCATTTTAAAGTAAGGGAGAAAATATTAGTTGTATGTCCAATCTGTAAAACAGTTTCAGATGAGATGGCTTCACAATGTATCATTGTTAAGATATAACAAAAAAAGATCAAAGTTTATAACGCCTGGTAAAATGGTCATATCAAAATGACAGTATAATAAGGTCAAAGAGAATGACGACAAATAACCCTACCAAGTATGCAAGCTTTCTGTCATACATTCTCAGAGTATTGATGTGTTTTTGACATACACACGAAAGGAGACCATAACAACATTAAACTTTACAGTGTTGATTTTGTCTAGTGTGAGTAGGAACCCTAGCTTGTGTCATGAATCAATACACAATATTCTTTTGTTTTGATCACAATAAAAGGTTTTACTATACTTAATTAATTAACTATATACAATCATATTGAATTACAGACTTCATGATCATAAAAATATAATACCACTGTCATATGATACATACTAATGGCGTGTCATCTTCTGGAACTTCTCTTGGTGGATAATTAAATTTGCTGAAATTAGGATGCCAGTGAGATGGAGGTGGAATTTCACTTTGTGCTAATTCCTGAACTTCATCACTTGCCACCTGGAATTCATAAAGGTGATTAGAATCTTTCATTCATCTCTGTCGTTTACTTAGAGCAAATTTGCAATACACCTTTGTAAATAAATTTTGGACTTGAAAGAAAGAGATTTTCAACTTTCTATGATAAACTGCATTTTAGTTTTATTGTTTTGTTTTGTTCTGCAGTATGTAATTCAATAAGTCTACTTTTATGTTTATGATATAATTTAACATATTTATAAAATATAAACAAATAAGCAAGCATTATTTCTTTTAAAACATTTATTTGAAAAGAATTGTAATCTCTTAAAACTTAACATGCTGCCATCAGGTAGGCACATATTGGAATATAGAGTAAATGTAGGAAAAACTTGTTATTCTCTACTATTTCAAACATTTCATCAGCATAAAATTGAGAATGGAAATGGGGAATGTGTCAAAGAGACAACAACCCGACCATAGATCAGACAACAGCCGAAGGCCACCAATGGGTCTTCAATGCAGCGAGAAACTCCCTCACCCGGAGGCGTCCTTCAGCTGGCCCCTAAACAAATATGTATACTAGTTCAGCATGCACTATTACACATGTATTTTGGTTAATTTTTTTTCTTTGGAGGGAGGGCAGTGTTTTTTGGTTGTTTATATGTATATAAAAATATTATGTTTGCCATAAACTGCACAAAAGTGTAACTAAACTAATCCACAAAACATAACAAAGACACCAAAAAGCATTCCGTCACAATCATACATAATGTTCGGGTAATCAGGTAACTATAGGATGAACATGTCATGTCATATTTCGTTTATATCATCAGTTCAATAGTGGTTGATTCAGTACTTTTTTTACATATTTTCTAAACTTTCCTTTTGATAAACTAAGAAATTATTAAGAACCTAATGTTTAAACTTCCTCAGACAAAGCTGACCTTAGATGAATTTGGCTATTCTATTTAGGTCTTTTTTTGTCATTTACATCCTAACATTGCTACATATTTGTACATCTTTGGCTTTAAGCTGTTTGGGTTTGAACCTTCCAGATGAAGAAAGATCCAGAAAAAGTGTTATTTTGATTCAACTGATAGAGGGGGTGTAATCAAACCAAATTAGAACATCTCATCGTTTAAACAATGATGACTCACCAAAAAACTAAACTCTTTGTCACAGCTTATATTGAAGGACTCTAAACCCTAATAAAGCATATGCTGTGGATTGGGTGAAATTGTTTTAAAGAAGTCAAATGCATAATCTAAAGGCAAAGCCACAAAAAAAAAAATATCAAAAGGCCCAGCTGCTGCACTACTGATGAACAATGACCTCTTTACCTTTAAAAAATCTACATATTTTCATTCTTTGACAACAAACCTGCATATGATAGATCATTAATTCATTTGCTAATTTATTCCTGTGCTGTGATCGTTGTAACTTCTGGTACATAAGAGACTGAAATCAAAATTACAACATAAATACAGGAAAAGTAATCAAATGTTAAATTATACTTTGGTTAACTAAAAATATGTAAAGCGAACTACAACACAGATGCTATAAAGCTAATGAAGATTAAAAACTAAATATACTATCTATGTATGACTATAATACATGAACAGCTTAAACTTTAACCAGTTTTATATATTCTACATATTTCATCAGCTTTTAAAACTATCTATTTCCAAATTATTTGCACAATTAAAGAAACTTTATTTCAAAAACAGTGTAGAGTATATTTTAAATGCCTCAACAAAAAAGCAACTTTGTAAATAGTATCTATATATAAAAACAATATTAATTTTAATGTCAAAGCAAAAGTAGAAAATGAACTTTCAATTATCAAGACCAGCTGTTCATCCATTATATTTAGAAAAAAATGAGCTAAGAGTAAGTTATATCCAGTGCTAGAATGATTTTGCATTAAGTTTTCAATTCATCCATCATACAAGAGTCAAAAGAATATAAGATATGTCTAAATTAATGTCTAAGATATTACATTTTAAGTTTTAAATGTCAGAATTCATATAACAATTCCCTGACTCTTGACCTTTTCATATAATTGATTTTTGATCAACTAATACAATCTTTCTTCATTCTAGCACGGGCAAAGAAAATCAATCTAATTACAAAACAGAATAACCAAAGAAATATCAAACAAGATGATTGAATTTATGTGTTATATAAGACGACAGTGTACGACAGGATACCTTCATATGATAAACCATTAATTCGTTAGCAAGGCTGTTACGATATTGAGCAGCTATGACTTTCTGGTACATCAAAGACTGTAATAATTGACAAATTCTTATTATTAAATATTTCTATTCTAAAAAGATTTGGGAAACACATCCACTGGTATTTGCTGACAACAAGTACTCTGAGAGAAATGATCTGACATGTTGAATTATATTTGATTGAATTGTCTTCTCTGAAGACCTTATCAACTCATCTCAGTTTTGAACAATGTGGCATTCTGGTATTCTATATAATTTAATCATATGTTACATAGATACTATTCATATATTTTCACTGGCACGCCTCGTCCAATTTAAAAAAAAATTTGGTTTGGAGCATATAGGATAGTTTAAATAAGATTGTGTGTCCATAAGACACTATTTCCCATTTAAGACATCATTGAATCACATTTTCATGCTCTGTAATGTATAAAATCTGGGTCAAAACTATAATTTAGCAAAAAAAATTTAAAGTTCACATCATTATGAACATTTGTACTAAGTTTAAAATTGAAGTGACCATAACTTCATGGCAAACTACAGTGACCAAAACCTTCAACCTAAAATGGGAAGGACAAACCAACAATCTGACGAATGCAAAGACAAAGAACATAATGCCCCCTTACTATTGTAGGCAGGACATAAAAACATGCACAGTCAAGCTATCAATAGGATCAACACTAACTTGGGACAAAAAAAGAAAGAACAGTACATGATTTGAAAAGCAGGGTCATAATTTGCTTGCTACTACAGGAAATCAAAGCAAGGTAAGGTAACCACACTGTTGGTTGAATACTGCAACCCAAGAAAACAAAAAATCAATTTCAATTTAATACAATTCTTCTCTCTGCATGTGAACTTTAATAACAACAGCTTGTAATGACATTTAGAGACAATTCATCAAAGTTTATCATTTCAACTGAAATTGATTTTGCACTGTCAAATGATAATTTCATTTCATAACGATATAAAGATATCTTGTTACATCATCCATTTTAAATGTATCTTCCACAAAATTCTCACATATTCATAGAAAATTACATAAAAACCTTAAACCTTAATAATTTAAATACACTGTTACTTACCAAGTTTCATCATTATTTAGATTAAAAACAGAAAGCAATTGAAACTAGTAGCATTTTAATAAAAGGATCTTAATGCTGAACAAATTAGGTCAAGTCAAGCAATTTCTGTCTTAAAGTACGTCTGTTAATTATGTCGACTAAACTCTTAATCAAGACTTGTTATGCATTTGTCTCTAAATTGTACAAAACACTAGACTTCATAATAAAATTCTTTAAGGATTAAAATTATAAATAAAGCAACCATTTCTAAAATAGAAAGGATATTTACTAAACCCTTTGCATCTAACCACTGAAAGACTAATATCCTTATTCCTCTCCAACAATCTTCTAGTGTCCTTAAACGAATCCTCAACAATATAACTGTTCATCTAGCCAGTAGCCTTAGGACTGATGACCTTTGACAGTAGCAGGTTTGTGTCAATATAAGTAGTACTATTAGACTTCACAATAGACTTTTGAATTTCAAGTCCTGAAGCTGATTTTTAAGAAAATTTTAGTTAGATTATATTGGCCTGTGGAGATGTTTTTTACAGGCCCGACAGAAGTTTTACAAGCCTGGGCTGGTGGGTATGTGGTTGAGCACGAAGACTGTACTATACTGTATTCTTGGACAATATCTATTTTATTTTACCTTTCACTTATCTGTTACCATGGATCCAGTTTTTGGACCCAAAGACAAAATATTTATCTTTGGGTTAAACCAGAGCTCCCAAAAAAAAATAATAAGAGTCAGCTGGACATTTTTTGACAATCCTGTTTATTTTTAACAATCAAGGTAATCATTAGGTATCAAGGACAATGACTGACCACAGGCAATTTACTCTGAAAAAAAACCCCAATATACCTTCATATAACACAAGGAACCCAACTCCCATTTTTGAGAAATGACACTCCGTCGCAAACTTTTGTTATATTTCTATTTTGTGGTTGTCTATCCTACTGAAACTTGTTATGTTGTAAATCTACATTTAATTATCTACAAGATGTAGGTCACGCTTATTTTTGTTGTTGGGATCATTTGTAGCAGGCCATCCAAGTTGGTTAACCTAAATTATTTCGTCTTCTCACAGTTCTCTCAAATTCAATATATAAATGTATATTATTTGAAAGTACTTACATGACTTATACTAATACAACAGTAAACAGCAAATGCCGAAGCAACATCCTCATCAAAGGTGGTAAAATATGGACCATTCATTTTATTACAAAGCTGAGCTACTCCTAACACATTATCTACAAAACAAAGGTGGTAAAATATGGACCATTATTTTATCACAAAGCTGAGCTACTAACACATTATCTACAAAACAAAATATACATATATCTATTTCTTTCTTTCCTAGATATGCTAAAGATTTTAAAAGTATTCAGCAAATAAGAGAGAAAATTTCAGGATTATATGCTTTCTTTCTGCAATTTTTTGTCAACCAAATTTATTTTCAAGGTGTACTGTGGTGTTAGAGTTTATTAGAACGTCACAAACTATGTCTTTAAAAAAAATAAAGGAAGAATGTGTCTGAATACACGAATGCCTCCGCTCAATCTTTGCAATTTTCCAAGTTCAAAAGGGGCATAATTCTAGAACAGTATATGACTTAACAACTCAAATTTGAACTCTGTCTGCAGGTTGTCGTTTTTAGCATTGTGTGTGAGTTTCATAAAATTTGGATGAGACAAACAAGTAACTGTGCGGAAACAAAAAAAATTTGCAATTTTCCAACTTATAAAGGGGCATAACTCTAGAACAGTTAGTGACTCACTGCCCAAATTCAAACTCTGTCTACGAGCTTTGGTTCTAAGCATTGTGTATGAGTTTCATAAAATTTGCATGAGGCAAACTTAAGTTAGAGTGCAGAAACAAAAATTGGACGGACAGACCGACTGAAAAACTGAGGGATAAGGGTAACACTTAATACCCCCTACCCTACTTCACGGACATAAAAACATGGAAATTATATTTATTTTCAAATAGTACAAATATCTGACGATAAGCTATAATAAACAAGCATTCTGTGAGTATTGCATGGCAATACATAGTCCCCTACCGGTTAAAATTCATTGTATTGGAACAAAATTCTAACTTGATCTATAACTTGTCATGGTGTAAACTATGTAACAAATATCAAGTCAATATCTTCAAGCATGACGAAAAAAGTGTTGAAAACTGATTATTTAAGTGAATTTTCTAAGTCCAAGGACCATCACTCTGCACAAAATCATCAGACCGGAATAAAAATTTTAACTTGATCTGTAACTTGTCATGATAAAACTATACACCAAATATCAAATCTATATCTTCAAGCATGAAGAAAAAAAGAGTGGAAAACTGATTTGCCGGACTGACGGATGGACAGACAGACCGACGGAGTGCAAACCTAAAGTCCCCTTCAACTTCGTCGGTAGGGGACTAATAACATGATTGTATGTGTAATCCAAAGACCTGTGCAATCTCATTTATAAATTCACAAATCTCAATAGGATACAGAACAATGAATTGTCATAGTAAAGACAACTATATGTCTGCCAAGAAATCTATTTTCTCAATTGTATTTTCCGTATGTTTGTACTTACCAGTTTCGTTTTTAATTGGGAAGCACAGGATGTTCCTACAAATGAAATCAAGATCTTTATTACAACATGTAATGGCCATAATTAAATAGATGCTCATTTCAAGTTTCTGTCAAAATTCAGATTAACTTATAAGTTTACAGATACATGTATTCAATCATTTGCACTGAACATAAAAAAATTTGTAAGGGTTCCGCGGAACCCAGTGTCTCGCCTACTTTTGCTGTTAATCGCAGGCTCAACAAAAATGAGGAAAAAAATTAATAAAAATATTCCTTTCTATACTATCTTTTGATTGTAAGTAGCTTCTGTCCAAGTTTGGTAAAAATCCAGGATAGTTTATGAATCTAATAAATGTTTTAAAAACTTAAACTGCAGACTGTATGTAATGTTAACTGGAAGAAAAACTAAGTCCATTTATAAGTAAAATACGAAAAAATGGAACAAAATTTTAACAAAATTTCCTTCAAGAGACTAGCTTTTAATCATAAACAAGCATCTGTCCAAGTTTGGTACAAATCCAGGGTAGTTTACGAAAGTTATTAAAATTTGAAAAACTTTAACCACAGAGTGAATGTAATGTTAACTGGCAGAAAAACTAAGTCCATTTATAAGTAAAATACGGAAAAAATGGAATTTTTTTTTTATAAAATTTACTTCTGGATACTATCTTATGATCATAAACAAGCTTCTTTCTAAATTTGGTAGAAATCCAGGATAGTTTAAGAAAGTTATTAAAATTTCAAAAACTTGAACCACAAAGTGAATGTAATGTTTCCTGGCAGAAAAAACTAAGTCCATTTATAAGAAAAATGGAATTTGTTTTTTACAAAATTTACTTTTGAATATTATCTTATGATCATAAACAAGCTTCTGTCCAAGTTTGGTAGAAATCAAGGATAGTTTAAGAAAGTTATTAAAATTTCAAAAACTTTAACCACAGAGTGATTATTTGTGGACGCCGCCGCCGACGACAACAACTCCGACGGAATGTAGGATCGCTATGTCTCGCTTTTTCAACAAAAGTCGAAGGCTCAACAAAAAATGATCTAATGCTGAGTCTTAGTAATATGATTACACAGAGTTGAGTTTGTATTAAGTGCCATTCCAGAATTAAACGATGGGGGCACGGTATGCAATTTTTAAAAAACCATGATCACATATAAAACAATTATTTTTATTTAACTTAAATCCAACAAAATTATAAGGAAACTACAACCACCCATATTTAAGGAATTTCATTGCCTTCCATTCCCCCACCCCACCCAATACGTTTTGGAACCCAGCTCTAAAATATGAAGTTATAACAGTTTTCACATTTTTTATAATATAACAATCCTGCATACCCAAGCTATCCACTTAAGGGATTCTATAGTATAGAAGATTGTTCAGGCGTTGGTTCACTGTCTTTTTTAAAATAAGAAGAGCTTAAAAATACCTTGTACGGAAACCAGTTGAGTCATCTATTCCTCTGTAAAACATTGGATGTGCATAAGCATCTTTAATATTGAGTAGATTACCTGTCAAAGAAAATTAATGTTTAAATCAAAACATTGTTTATGGAATAAAAGAGAAAGAAAAAGTAAACTAACAATGCTTCTTTCAAAGATTACTTTTTTTAAGAACTTTAAAATATGGTTTTTCCATGTTTTATGAAATTTTAAGCTGAGTATTCTTGAAAATAAATCTAAGAAAATGTTTTGGAGATAAATGGTATTTTTTATATTCCTCTCCTACACTTTAAGCATAAATGTTCATGATTGATAGATTGCTAAAAATATACCAAATGAGTGTTGAAATAAGAAATTAATAAAAGCATTTACTCTCTTCAATTTGTAGATATTTGTTACAATGAGAAAATAATTGATTAAATGAGAGACTGCAACTCTTCATTTAGAAATAAGAAACATTAAAAAATGCATCATAATTATACTACTGCACAAAATACCTTTAGTGTCTCCTATATTTCATGGTTCAGTGAACATTTGTAATTTTTAAACTGTAAATTTATAATTTTTTGCTATGTTTCTATTATTGCGAAAGTTGTGTTGGGATAGGTCTCACTAAAATAAACATTTAAATTATTATTTTTCATAGAATATATTGTATGCACCATTTCGTGACAGTGCAATAATTTGTGTCACATTCTTCTGATCAACAATCTCAATAATAAGTGCAAAAATTAATAAATTTACAGTATTCTTTTTTCTTTGTTGACAGGGCAGAGTTTACACTGGACACACAAATTCTTGTTTTAATATGTTTACCTATATTGGTCTACTAAGTTCAGTGTCTAATTGTTAATACGCTTACCAGTAGTAGCTACATGGCCTGCTATTCCCTGAGTTATTGGCATTCGGATTTCATTTTGAACCTGCAAAAGTCAAATATTTCTAATTACACTTAATAACTTAAGTGTTGAACTGAAAATGGTAAACATGATCATTGTAAAATACACTTAAAATGCAAGTCCCTATAGTAAAGACAGAAATTTTGTATTCTAATGTGATACCTAAAATTTGCATTGAAAAGTTATTTTCTTAAAATGCAGCCAAATGGTACATTGGTGGGTTATATTTTCCATTTCTTTCATTCTCTTCAATAGAAGTAACTAAACAGAGTTTCTGCCTGTGAAAAAAGAATAAAATGTTTTGTTTCTATATTTCGTAGGGTTTTATGTCATTTTTTCTATGCATTCAAGAGAGTCTATTGATGAGGTTTATGAGCTAAACCACGGATCTTTAGTGAGAAAATGACACACTTTATTAAAATACAATCTGATTTTATGCATCATGTCATTATTCACAAAAAAATGGCATGAAAACTTTATGTAGAAGTGCTAGACAGAAGTGACTTATAAAATTAGATGACACTATTTAGATCACTTGGCAAGTGTTATAGAAGAGATAGAAAGACAACACTAAAAATTACCTAGAATATCCAAGGGTTTTTCTTAAATGTTGGTCCTGTGATTTTTATGAGATGATGTGTAATTTTAACTGCTCAAAATTTTACGACTGCACATAAGTTTAAAGGGTACATTACTTATTTACAAGTTACAAACAAGATCAAAGGAGAAGATATAAGGCCACCTTTTTTTTTGCTTTCTGAATTTGAAAGTCAAAATAGACTTTTATTGGATAACATCCTTCAAATGTTCACAAGACACCAGTCTACAAGATATCATATATATTTTTGTTTGTTGTTTTACATATTAGTTTTAAGCCTTTAAACTTCTTTCATTTCATTTTAAGACGTAATCATTACTATTTAGATATGAGCCACACCCTTTAATTCGCCACACAATGTCTTTTACAAAGATGTTGATGTGGGTAAAACATATTTTTGGTTAGGCTGATTAAAACTCATATTTAATTTCCAAAAAAACTATCTGTAAAATCACCATTTTTCAATCATTTACTTTTGTTGCTGATATCTGTTTAACACATCTCATCCTATGTCTTTTCATAAGATAATTAAAACCTTCTACTTTAACAAAAAGTAAATGCTGTTCAAACTCAAATTTTCTTACAAACATTAATGATGATACTGGTCAAGTTTCCAGGAGTTTGTAATAAAAAACACTTTTTTATACAACACTCTCAATAATATTACCTCGTTGTCGTTTGCTAAAATTCCATCAAATACTTTGGCCACAAGCTCATCTACTTCTTGGTCAATCAAAAATACTGAACACCTGAAAACACAATATATCATATAAACATGATACATCTGACAACAAGAATCACAATATAGTGAGATTTTATCTTTTATCTAAAATTTGCTAAAAAATGCCATAGTTCCCAAGTCTGGAAAAAAATCCTTAAACAATTTTATATATCAGGTACACAACTGGGCTAATGATCACAAACTATTGTATATACTACAAGCGTCTAGTAAGTCTCTTACTATCAAATTATGTAATTTTGTAAAAGCTGCATGGAATATTCGATCTAATATAGTCTCATAACTTTATATGTCATTGTATTATACTATTGTTCTCTGCTGTCTATCCATGTTTTATATTATGTAATATATGTTGTTAATTTTGCCATAGCATGTCTATGCTTTTGCAATAAAAGATTCTTTGAAGTTTCAGAAATCTGGAATAAACAATGAAGGAGGAGAGGATTACACAAAATTGGCACATAAACCTTCATTTGTAAATTTTGCTTAAAAGTGACTCAAGTCTAGAATTTATTTTTAAAATAGCCTCAAACAATTTCATAATAGCATTGCACTTCAATATACAAGTAATCTTTCTGGCTAGTTTCAGCTATCTGGGCTGAACAGAAATTGTGAACTTTGATAGTCATTTTTCAGCAAGATTTACATAAGAGGGTACCAATTTTGCATAAATTGGTACCCTCTTATGTAAATTTTGCTGAAAAATGACTATCAAAGTTATCAATTTCTGAGAAGTTTCAATGATGTCGGTTGATGTTTCACAGCTTGCCTGACATCACTATACAGTAAACCAGTTTTGCACTCTGGTCAAAAATCTGTAAACTAAATGAAGGACCCCACCTTGGCTTAAAAAAAAAAGTGGAGTTTCAACCCTATCTGGTATCCAATTCTGAAAAAGCTCTAATATAAGAACTATGGCCCATTTACCTCATCAAATTTAATTTATCTGTTGTCCAAGACACTTATTGGGTTATTAATTTACCTTTCCGCTTGTGTCAAATTTCTAGCTTCTTGCATAATTTCTCTCAGAAGTTTGGTTAAGTCATCTGTAACAGACAAATCAAATATAAAGATTAATATATAATATAGTCACCATTGTAATGACAGAGAATAAGAGTAATAATCCCATCGAGACCAAGTTAAGAGAGGTACATTCGACTCCCAGACAATAATAAAAAAATAATGGATAATTTCTCATCTAAATGAAAATCTTCCACATAGATTGAACTATAGCTTGAAAATCACTTAACATTTACACAAATTGGTTTGCCATCAAACTGAACTATCCATCAAATAGCTTAGTAAAACCTATATGAATACAAATGACCATCAATTGAAGTACATTTTTTTCTATTTCACTACTAGCTGTTATCAGACTGCTTAACTACCTACACAATTGTTATGTCTCTTCACAAATCCAATCAAACATCAAATGCAATGACATTTTGACTTGATATATTTGAACTAATAAATACAGTAAAATTTATAGCTTTCATTGCATAAAAATTCAATTGATAATTCATACGTTGAACAAACCAATTGTGTGAAAACTAATAAATACTTGAAAAAATATTTCAAAAGCACCATGCAACCAGACTAAAATGTAATTTTTCTCTGCTGTTTATAAATTTCTTAACAAAAACTTAGAATAAGGAAATTATATATTTTCTTTAACATAGCAAACATGAATCATACATATATATTCATTATCTCTAAAACTATCTGGTTAAATTTTGCACTTCAAATTATCAACTAATTTCTCTACATGGCATTTCCATAAACCAACAATTTATAAATGAATTTCCCTAATGTCAAAACTAGTAGTCTGTACTATTAGGAAAGGAAAGATTTATCATATAAATAGATTGCTCACAAATGTGAAGATAATTTTGACATCATAAGAAATAATGCTGTTAACACACATAATTACACTCTGTTCTGAAAAATTAACAAATCAACAATTTTATAAAAAGAACAACTTTAAAGAATGTTCCAAAGAAGAACAAACTAAACAAAGTCTGAACATGAACAAACATGAACACCAGACCTACTTGTCTCTAACGGAACATTTTCTGTAGAGGGTACACTAATTCTTCTCATATACTCAGTTATACCGGTAGTTGAAAATTGTGTTATTTGGGGCAGCTGATGAGTCAAATTAGTTTCATCCTCATCAGAATAGACTGCAGAATCAGTGTTTGATACCTGTATTGACATTGTCAACTTCTGATGTGTATCAACATCTTCAATAATTACCGAAGCAGTATGTCTATGAAATTTTGTTTTAGATAAGTCAGTATCTACAAAATCTTCAGCACTTTTTTTCCTGTCAATGGTTATGTCAGAATCTGCTGTAAGTGTTGACTCTGAACTTCCCTGGATAAACGCATCATTGAACTCTGGTTTGCTATCTGTTATGTCTGGTGTTAAGGAAGCCTGATCATGAATATTACTGAGTGATGGTTCACTGGTAGATAGTCTAGCATCAGCTTTATCAAAATCATTGTCTGATATATGTGAATGTTGTGTCATTTCATCATTACAGGTGTTGTCAAAGACTTTAGTATCAGAACAACTGGTATTTAGTTGAAATTCAGTCTCTTTCAAACTATTGTAGAAATTTCTTATTTCTTCGGGCACATTCTCATCATTTACATCTTCTAAATTCTCAGTCTCATCATTCTCTGTCTCATCACATGCAGAGTACATCACGGACTGAACTGGACTTCTGGCAGTTCTATATGAGGCATTGTCATCACAGGGGTCCTGAGACTCATCGGGACGAGGCGGAGTGAAAAAATTTCTTACAGTACGTTCATATGTTGGTGTTATAGGTGGCAGTTCATTAGCATCACTATAATATGATGCCTGATCATCAAAGTCCTGTTCTTCCGTATGTAATTCGTTCCTTAAAAGATTCAATTTGATCGTTTTCCCATCACGTTCATCCTTTAATATCAAAATATCTATGGGTTCCTTTGCTCCTTCAGTTTCCAATATAATATCTGGTTTACTAAATCTTGTCGATTCTAACAACGGTGTAAATTCCAAGTATTCTGCCTCTAATGATCTCCTCTCTTTGATATAAGGTTGTCCATAATGCTTTTCCGGACTGAGATTTCTGGTTTTTCTTTTTTCTGGAGATTTCACTTTGGGTTGATGATGTTTTGGAACCTTTTCTGGAGAGAATTTTCTGACTTCTTCCATTCCTGTTAACTGATTGGCAAGCTGATCCTGTTTTTCTATTACTGCATCAACTTGCTGATACAATAGCATTTCTATCTTGGCTGAGTTGTTGAGCTGGTGCCCATATTTTCTAGGAACATAAGGTCTACAGTGACTTCTGTCAATGCCATTGCATCCTTGTAAGCCATAGGTGTTCACCTCGAAAAGCCCACTTCTAATGTAGGGAAAATTATCTATATCTTTACCATACAGTAATGTAAACTCACCTAAATGTGTGAATAGGTTTCTTGCTACTTGAAGCATGGCCTAAAATTAAAAAAAAATATCCAAATATAATATTTATGACAAAAAAAAAATAATAAAAAAAAAGGGTTGGTAAAAGGTTTTAATTCTGTACTGTGCATTAATTGAAATCAAATTTTTTTTTTGATAAATAATGACCATGTATAAAGATTACCATAATGTAATCCCAGATTATTACTTTAATATGAACTTCAAAACCTCATATAAACTAGCCAATAAATTTTATAAACTAGAAATTCCACATATTTTTTTACTGTGTATGTCAGTAGCATAAGCAAAATAAGTTTGGAATAAGGTTTCATGAAACAAAAAACAAAACTCTATTCATACCAGTTATTTCAGAGTAAGGTTTTTTTCAAAGATTTATGACTAATTGAAGATCACTGATACAATGTGATAGCAACAGCTCACGCTCTGAGACAATTTCTGTGCTTTTATCCATGACAGTTTGCTCTTTCACAATACCAAAATATTTCAAGTTGCAGTTTGAATAAATCTCTGCAAACTCATTCACTAGTGAAATGGTTTAGCCCACAACAGGTGAAAGGTTGTAAATATAAAGAAAATAGTCCTCTTAAACCAATTCCAATGATGAACTTTCTGTTTCATGAGAACTTTTGAAAATTCAAATACAGCACACTAGCATAAAACAATTCTCGTCTTGAATATGCATCAAATACTTGACATTGAACATTTAACCAGCAACTATCTATCTATCTATCTATCTATCTATAAAAACAAATTGACACGGATTTGAAAATATCCATCATAATGACAGGTACTGTAAATTCAGAAATTTTTTCAATGCTTTTCTTATTAGGAAAAGATAGGATCCCAAGAAATAAAGTCACATTTTAATCTTTTGAAAGCATTATTTGCATTGTATGCTGCATTTTCTAAAATTGCAATAATTAAACTTGTATCTGTGTCCATTGATCAACTATCACAATAATTTCTGAACTTACAGTATTGTGAAATGGCAAAGCCATAGGCAAATCCAAGGGGGCCCCCCTTTTCGTGGGAAAAATTTGGTTGATTATATAGGGAATCACTGAAGCATGACTGTAGCGGCCCCCTTCTTATGGCAGTCAGTGGGTCCCCCCTTATAAAAAGTTCTGGATCTGCCACTGAAAGCCTCTTGGAAAAGCACAGTATGATAAAAACTTTATAGTTTCAGTTAAACAAACGACAAGGTAGTCAATATTTATTTGCATTGCGTTCCTTTAAACAGACAACTATAATCCTTCTTTTGTCGAACATCAATCAACTTTATATAATATGAGTCCTTAGAGACATGATCTTGTGGCAGACAGAATCACTTTGAATATGTCATATAACTAGTAGAAAGTCATTTTTATTCTTTCTCCTAACAGTACAACGCCTTATCACAAATAAGAATTTCATAATTTTTCCAAATATAAATCAGAGAAACCTATCTTTATTACTTTCATGTTTTGTTATTTTACAAAAAAGATATAAATTTATGGCAGCTTATTTTATTGCTGGAGGAATTGTAGTTCCAAAGTAAATTATTAATCATCAGTAAAAGCAAGAATGCATGCAATGTTGTTTTAATCTTACCCCCACTCATACTGCAAAGTATTGGAAAACAGGAAGTTGGTGTCTGAACAAATACAAAGTCATTCTCATAATACTGGAGAAATGTGTGACAAAAATTGTAAGTTCATTCAACATATCAAAATATATAAAGTATCAGCAAACAGGAAGTAGGTGTCTGAGAGATGCTAAAAGCGCTCATGACTGTCAAGCTACAGTGTAAATATGCAATTCTTCTGTTCATTGGTTCCGTAGAAAAGTGTGACAGAAATATTTTTTGGATGAAAGGACAGATAGACTAATGTACAGATGGACAAGATGAATGCAATATAGAACCCAATTTCAGAGTGGTGGTATAATATGAAAAATGACACTTTAATTGAAATACTTATGAGTTTTACTGATAAAAGTTGGAGAATATGGCGTATTTATGCACTAAAATACAAGAGGAAAATGGGGAAAACTAGATGTGTCAGGAAGAGAATGTCTAACCATATTCGAAATTGCAAGCACATGTACAGTAATCTATCAAAAAGTACATTATATTAAAATAAACCACCAGATTAATATGTAATGTTCTAAAATCTACTACATGCAAAACAAAACAAAGGAAAAACTGGACAACTTTAAGACTAACAAGCATTCTGAAAGTATTGCATTGCAATACATAGTCCCCTACCGGTTAAAAATCATTGTACAATGCTAACTAATAATCTATAACTTGTCATGGTGTAAACTATATTTAAAATATCAAGTCAATATCAAGTCAAAACCTTCAAGCATGATGAAAAAAAGTGTGGAAAATTGATTATCTAAGTGAATTTTTCTAAGTCAAAGGACCATAACTCTGCACAAAATCATCAGACCTAAACAAAATTAGAACTTGTTCTGTAACTTGTCATGATAAAACTATAAACCAAAAATCAAATCAATATCTTCAAGCTTGACAAAAATAAATTTGGAAAACTGATTATTTGAGTGAACTTTCTAAGTCAAAGGACCAAAATCATCAGACCAGAACAAAATTCGAACTTGATCTGTAACTTGTCGTGATAAAACTATACACCAAAAATCAAATCAATATCTTCGAGCACAAAGAAAAAAAGTGTGGAAAACTGATTATTTGAGTGAATTTTCTAAGTCAAAGTACCATAACTCTGCACAAAATCATCAGACCAGAACAAAATTACAACTTGATCTGTAACTTGTCATGATAAAACTGTACACCAAATATCAAATTAATATCTTCGAGCACGAAGAAAAAAAGTGTGGAAAACTGATATGCCAGACTGACAGACGGACAGAGTGCAAACTTAAAGTCCCCTTCGACTTCATCGGTAGGGGACTAAAAATGATGGAATGACAGGACAGAAGGACGGGCATAAGAATATTTAAAACTCTTATTGCATATCCATTAATTTTAATATTAAAATGAGGAGACCTAATGTATGTGTGTAGCTCAAACTAACAGATTAATAAGTAATAAAAATCATTCTCAGAGTATTGCATGGCAATACATAGTCCCCTACCGGTTAAAAATTCATTGGTCTGAAAAAAATGCTAACTTGATCTATAACTTGTCATGGTGTAAACTATTTAACAAATATCGAGTCAATATCTTCAAGCATGACAAAAAAAAAGAGTGAATTTTCTAAGTCCAAGGACCATGACTCTGCACAAAATCATCAGACCAGAACAAAATTCGAACTTGATCTGTAACTTGTCATGGTGTAAACTATATACCAATTATCAAATCAATGTCTTCAAGCATGACGAAAAAAGGGTGTGGAAAACTGATTATTTGAGTGAATTTTTTAGTCCAAGAACCATAACTCTGCACAAAATCATCAGACCAGAACAAAATTTGAACTTTTTGAACCAATGGTGTCTGAACAAATACAAAGTCATTCTCATAATGCTGGAGTTGATCTGTAACTTGTCATGGTGTAAAGAATATACCTTATATCAAATCAATATCTTCAAGCATGAAGAAAAAAATTGTGGAAACATTTGCCAGACAGACAGACAGACAGACAGAGTGCAAACCTAAAGTCCTCTTTGACTTTGTCGGTAGGGGACTAATAAGTAAGACTCCATGCAAAGAGCAATTTGTGAACCTCACTTTCCATTACTAAGTTTGGATCATCTTGAGAATAGTTTGGGAAATAAAAAGAGCTCAGAATTTCTTTCTTGTCTTTCAATTTAAATGTTAAAATACTTCTGGTTTCCAAGTAAGCACATGGTCAGTAAAGATCTGTCTGAAAACAACAACATATCCAAACAACAATGTACCACATCCTGCCTTAATGATAACAAATTGGTCGTAAAACCTAACAATAATATCAAAGAACAATTAACCACAACATTCTCTACTGAAAATAAAAAAGGGATTAAGACTAGCAAAATACAGCCAATGACAAACAGAATTAAGCAATTGAAACTGTCAGAAATAATTCACTTACTTTTTTCAACATTACAACACGTAATTCTTAAGTTGACAATGAGAAAAATAAATGTGATATTCAATGTCTGCAATTTTACAGGTGTTATCTAGCTTCTATAAAATACAGTGGTATAAGTGGATCAGTGGCAAACAAATTATACCTGAGTTTGGATTTTGAGCTTTCTTTCATTTTGGAATGCTAAAGTGCTGGTTAAAACTGTAGATGTATACTGGAAACACTCTTTTATAATATGAATATCATCATTGTTAAAGCTGTAAAAGCAAATAATTTAAATGAAATCATAAACATAATCATAAATCAAATATCAAATATCAAAAGAGAATGAATAACTCATCTGGCATACTAACCCCTCAACTGCTCAGATTACTTCTGACAAGTTTAGCTTTGGTAGGCTTGGCTTTCATTGATCCCCCAAAGTTTCAGAACATTTCACCTTGTAGTTTCAAAATGGAACCTTTTTTAAAACTGGCCAATCAGTCAGAGATTTTCTCGAGCAGCCATGCTTTCATCCAAATGAAGCCAAAATGAGCATTATTTGTAAAATAAAACTTCATTACATCATTTCTCATTGGGAACTATTAGTCACCAATGACAAATTGCGTCATTAATGATGTATTGTGAATTTCATTAAAACTTGATTTTAATTTTGTGATCAATTGGCCTTACTGACAAATACCGCACTTATCCATTCATTCATATGAAATAGTCTGTTTAAAAATTAAGCTTTTTAATCTTCCTACACAAGGGGAGAAAATTTTAAATTAATGCAACTTGTTACTGTATCCAACATTCACCTGAAGTATAAACACACAAGTCTCAATTGCTATCACAAGTTGTTTCTATTCAAAAGAATTTCATATGTTTAAAATGAACAGTACTGTTTTAGCTTTCTAAACATAATTCAGTAATTCACAATTACTTCTTTTTTTATTTTCATTAATAATTTCAGTATGAGAATAAATTCTGTATTTTACATTCAGAATTTGATCTTCTGTTATAAAAACAGAACCAGTACATAAACACTCTATAGGAATGTGTAGTCTTGTTCTCTTGTTACATACTATTTGTCAGACATCAGGTGTTGTCATGTTCAAAGTCAATTACCCTCATTTTTTGGTACATTTTTGGTATTATTCTTATTAAATCAAAGTTGTTGATTTATAATTTATTGTTATCGGTAATTTTATAATTCCAGTATAATGCTAGTAAAGAATCGGTTTACTAGAATGTGAATTCATACGACAGTGTTTTAGTCACTTTGTGGCAAACAATGGTTGAATGACAAAGGCTTGGAATACTATTTCTTTAAATTGTGTATTTTTTTATTTGCTAGCAATGAAACCTTTCTGTTAATTTTTTTATGTCTATACTATACATCACCTTTCTTTATCTTTTTTATTGACGAGACAAGCTAAAGCTATAAGTTTATCATTGGCTTTACTTGACACAGGAACACATAACATCGACTGCAGCTTACATCCTATAAACCCCTCAATTCCTGGTCTTTTGTCCTAAAAATACACACAAACTTTATGTAACTTTATTACTATATAAAAAGCCAGCTGTTTTCAGCATAAAAAAAAAAGCCATTTGACAGTAAGCACCTAACAATCAATCTTTTCAAACATGAAAAAGGTACCCACAAAATTCCATAAATCAATACAAGACAAATTAATGTGATTACACCTTCAATAAATAGGCTGTTTAGTTTTGTATTTAATTTTCTTCCAAGAGAACTTAACCTTTAAATAACATGAACAAACAATCTTAATTCACTTTTCAAATTCTGCTGATTAAATTACAAGACCAGATTTTGAAGACATCTCTAGTGTTTTCCAACGAAAGCGTTTATATTTTATAGGAAAACAATAAGAAACATTTACTTTTGAAGTGAACCTAATGTCAAATAGGATATAAATCATGCCTGTTTGTCTGGAATATTGATTTTGATTTATTCTTACTGAAAACATTTCTCTGTCCATTGACAGATAATACTTAAGTCAGCTTATCGTTCTGTAGTCACAGAAGAAAATTATTACTGATAACAGTTCTAATTCAAATATTTTCTATGCTTCGTTAATTCGTATTTCAGATTTTAATGAAACGTATTAATATTCCTATATTACAGTTCTAATTTTGAATACTTTCTATGCTTGGTTAATTCATATTTCAGATTTTAAGAAAAACTATGACTGTTCCTATATATTACTGTTTTAATTTTGAATATTTTCAATGCTGTGTTAATTCGTATTTCAGAAAATTATGATTGTTCCTATAAGCTTATAATTTCCATTACAGTTTATCAGATGTCTATCAGTAGTGGAGCTAATTTTGTTGGGTTGCTGACTCATTTACATTTACACTTTAATTCCTTTTATTCCGTTAATTCTATTCATGAATGTTGGATACATGTCAATGAGACTATACAACCAAATAACACCTCTTAAAAGCAGAAAGGATTAAGTAACAAAAAATACATGACCAATACTGCGTCACTGCATGTAATTGATTGAGGTAACATGTGTTCATAAGCATAACTGATGCAAATGATTCTATCGTAAAAAACAGGAAGTGTCTGCACAGCAGATGTAAAATCTGATTATACGCTACAACTCAACATTATGAGGCTCCAGATCAAATATAAAATTATTCACTTCCATAGAAGACAAGGAAAGATTATTCATAATGTGATGTGCCAAAAAGAGGTTATTTTATATCAACAGTTATATCACAACTCTAAGTAAAAATTTGTAATGGCCAAATTAAAAAAAAATTAAAAATCAAACTAAAACCTATTTTAATCTTTCATTAACCTATGTCTTTTACATTATTTGACATAGTTGTGAATTATCTAACCTATGACATCCCATCCTAGAAGCTAGACCACACATGTGGTTACATATATAATAATACAACTAACTAGATATCATTGAGATGGGAGCCATCTCTGTGGGCCCCGCTGTGAATAATGTGTGGTAAAAAATTTGTATCTTTATCATTGGACATGAGGTTGTCAAATGAAACCAAAGTTTTTGACCTTGACCTTTGACCAAGGAAGTTGTACATAAATTATGACACACCCTCAGGTGTTGGTTTATATACATATCAAGTATAAACTTTGAAATCATAACGGTTCTCAAGATATAGAGTGGACACGATCTTTACCATAGGACATGGGGTTGTCAACTAAAACCAAAGTTTTTGACCTTGACCTTTGACCTAGAAAGTTGTACATACATTATGCCACACCCTCTGGTGTTGGTCAATATACATATCAAGTATAAACTTTTAAATCATAACGGTTCTCAAGATATAGAGCGGACACGTTCTTTACCATAGGACATGGGGTTGTCAACTAAAACCAAAGTTTTTGACCTTGACCTTTGACCTAGGAAGTTGAACATACATTATGACACACCCTCTGGTGTTGGTTAATATACATGTCAAGTATAAACTTTGAAATCATAACGGTTCTCTAGATATAGAGCGGACACGATTTGTTACGGACGGACGGACAGACAGACTGATCACTATAGGGCGGCCGCCATTCGGCGGGGCCCTAACAAGAAAGCCATTAAATTGAACTGAGAGTTCAGCAAGGTGTCATACCTATGTTCCTCCTTGCACCAGCATCGATTTACTGTAATAGTGTTGTTTTCTTTTTGTTTTTTGTGTTTTCTTATTCTTTTTCATTCTTTTTAATTTTCTCAAAATCTGGTATTGTGTATGCTTAAGAGACCTTCCTCTCACCCTTCTTATCTCTTTCCCTTTAATATTTCAAAAAACTCAAGCTACTGATAAAAGGTAAAAAGTTTGTAATATTGTTTTTATTCTCAAGATAATATATGTTCAGTGTACAAATTGTTTTGTTTTTGTCCCTCCATACTACACTTACTACAGGTATATCTTCTAATGTTAATGGTAATTTCCTGTCCAAGGCAAGAGCAAAACTACTAGAGTGGCCCTGTAAAAGAGAGAATATAAATAGATACATTCAATTTGTCCAAAAATAAAAATTCTCACAGGGATAATTCTTAAAGACAACCAACTTAAACTAGATATAAATATACTACTTTTTGTAACTCAGTAGCAGAATTCCATCATCTTATATCTAAAGAAAATACCAAACTGACCTCTAGGGACTATTTCTGAACATTAGCTACAAGACACAGAGAAATTATACTGCTGTTTTCCCAAGACTGGGTGGTAAGAAACCATCGATCACAATCAATTTTTTTACAGATATAATGTATAAACCAATTTAAAGCATTATTATTTATCTTTCGTAAATAAAAAACGAATGACCTTGCAATTCATTAAGCGCTGAAAAACAAAATAAAGTAATTCTACCTTTAAAACATTTTAATATAATACAATTAGTTCAATCTATGAAACTATAAGTGATGACAATCATCTTTAATTCAAGGACAGGGCAAAGCAATTGTAGGTGTCTATGGAAACTCTTTGTTGTTGGTATGCAGATGGATCAATCTGAGATCAATCTAAATACAAAAACAAATTTGACATTACTTATGCTGGTTGTTATTCCTGAAATAATTCCGACCAATTACAAAACATTTAGGAAATCCATTTTTTTTCAAAGAATCAACTGACATGATTCACTAGTATCAACCAATTAAAAAAAATATATGAGGAAATCTATTCTTTGAAAGTACTTATCCAAGTGAAAATTTATAAAATTTTCTGTTTAAGGTTTATCTAAAAAAAAAAAACCCTATATAGCATTGCCATGTTCATAATTCTATTCAGAATAAAATAATAACAATCAAATGGTCCTTGTCACATTCTTATTAAAAATAGGCAAATATTGATTGACATTGCTTTAAAAATTTAACTGCACTATATGCCATAAAAATTTCCTTTGTCATATGATGAAACAACAACATAAGATATAAAGCTTTAAAATTTTAGCCTTCTACAATGGAGCTTTATATTATTGAAACTTGATCTTTTTATGACATTGATACAAAATGTGTTTAATCATTATTTCCTGTGTATAACCCTCCAATAAGACAAAAAAATAGCAATATTAGTATGACTAAATCTCTATAGGATAAAATCAAATGTCTTCATGTAAGGAACATGTAAATACAACTCATTCATGACAATAAGTAATTCAGTCAATCATATTTTGTGATCAGAATTATGAGCCAAATTTCATTTTTATGTTGCCTCCTTCAATATAGCGGGCCATTACAAAATCCCAACAGGAATGATGAAAAAATAGACATGGAGTTATTTCATTAGTGCTTCATTCAATCTATGATTTTATCAGATTTTCTAATTAAAATCATGCAACCCTTGATTAAATATTCAAAGACTTGATGTACACTCGAGTGTTACAATTCACAATGCTGATACGAACTATTGTTCCTTATTTTACAACTATTAATATCATCTGCAAGAGCATAGAATTACATCACATCGTTACTATTTATTTGAACATGTCAAAATTCAAAGTGGGACTTTCCATAATACAGATTTGTATCATACTCTAATGTCAAGAATCATCCTGAAAAATTGGTAGACTGAATCTGAGTTAAAACTAAACAAATGAAAACAATTTAACATAGTTCAAGCATCCCTTATTCAATGTAAAAGCATTTGTGGCTTCAATTCTTATACATGTAGTGCGTTTTTATACCCTTGCTGACTAACACATTTTCCTATCGAAGGTCATGGTTTTCTCCGGGCACTCCGGCTTCCTCCACCAATAAAAACTGGCCGCCACGAAATAGCCCAAAAGCGGTGCTTAAAAGTGGCATTAAAACACCAAAAATCAAATCAAATCTTTATTGTGGATTCAATATTATTCATGGGATACCAATTTTCATTGGATTTAGTGGGTAAAGGTGAACCACAAATTTAAGTGTTTAACATAGTACAAATTTTCTATAGGCTTGTATGCAGACTTTGGTAAATACCATGAAATCAAATATCCATGAAAATACAATTTTACCTCAATCCATGAAAATTTGTACCCACGAAAATAAATAAATCCCCAGTAACCAAACATCCTGGTTAAACATCATACATGACCTTTCCCCCTTAACTTTGTCCCCTATTAAACTCTTTCTAAACATTCTTGTCTTTTGGATTTTACTTTTGAAATTTCTTATTTCTTACGTTTTACCTGAGGTGCTTTCCTAGTTTTTACTGGAAAGTATGTTATCCTTATTATAGACAATTATTAAAAATATACCCTATAAAAAGTAACTAATGTAAGGTGTCCTTCTGTACTGTAAATTCAGAAATTTATGCAAAGTCTTTATTATTGATAAAATTGCTATGGGATATGTGTAGTAAAACAAAAACTCACATTTTTAATTTTCATAGCTTTGTAAGCAGCATTTCCTGAACTCTAAATAACATAAACATGTACTGTCAAATTAAATGTAACTTTTTAAATGTTATAAATTCTCCCCTTTTTCTTTACTTCAATCACAAGGTGGAAATACCTTAAAAGGATAAAGAAAATTCATAATGATAAATTATAACGAAGATGTATGGCTAATTCTACAACCTTTTCTGTCATAAAAAAACACAACAGACCTATCACAGAAAATTTAAAACAGCTACCCTTGGGTAATACAGAATAAATATTTCATACTGTTATAACGCATATTTGATGTGCTAGACATTTTAATTGCAAATTTCCAAATACAGTATGGATACTCTTCCATTATTTATTGAAAACATCAGAACACAATTTTCATTTGACAAATTAGTAAGTTGAACAAAAACTTTTTCAATTATCAAAAATCAATCGATTATAAATTAACGCACAAAAAAAGAGATAGATTCTACAAAAATATAGATTAATATCTCCAGTCTCCTGAGACTATTTTCTTCTATCAGCTACAACTTCTATTAATTTATTTCTTTTGATGTAAAAGGAAGTCAATCTAGTCTCAAATTACAGATATGATAAGAAATCAAACTTAATCATTTTCTCAATTAAATTTCTATCTAGTTCTATTTTACTGTATGACTGGCAGGAAAAGATAGCAGACACTGACGTCAACCAATATAATGGAATAAAGTGAACCATATGATCTTGGAAAGATGGAATTTTCCATGAAAAATCATGACTTATCAATATAGGAAAACTAAAACATTGTTATTTGGCTTTTATAGAAAAGAACAATATATTATATAATAGTACAAAGGCATAAAAATCCAAGTTGTTATATCCCTGTCACTTTCATTATTCAATAATCCAAAAACACCTATAAAAAATAAATTCAAAACCAAGAATCGTGACATAAATAAATTCAAAACCAACAGATCTTGCCACAAGTGGGAAGATTTAGTTTACAAAACAATAACATTGATTGTACCATCAAAATGAACAACTCATATAAATATCTTGATTCAATATTTGCTGGAGTGGTAATTTCCAAGATTTCATCATTTATGTTTACCCATCCACAAGAAAAACTAGAGGCTCGTAGGAGTCTGAACCATGTACCTTGCAACAATAAGTCATATTGATATTTATTTTCATCTTTTTTGTGATCAAATTGTTTTAAATGTAGATTTCTTTTAAGCGCTCTCATTTGAAATTCAGGCCAACATATGTATTCTTCAGTGCCAAGATTGTATTATTCATTTAAGTAAACTAAAGGACAAAACTAACTATCCATGTTCTCATCCCCTCTAAAATATATGCTGTGCACACAAACTGAAATAGTAATACATTATTTTATACACTCTTTGAAGTTATACAGTATGCTTGCTATTTGAAGTTTGCTTGCTGTTTCATTGCTTTTTCCTTTCAGAGTTTTACTTTATCTCAACTTTCTATGATGTTAAAATGCATGTTTACTTAATTACAAGCTTTTTCATGTTGTCTCAGACTAATAACTTAATATAGTCATTAAAAATAAACATAAAAAAAAGGCACCATTCCAGAAAAAAAGTGATGTATAAAAGGCACTTTTCTATACACTTACAACCAAGGCTAATTCAATTTTATTAAAAAAAAATCTTAGACTTTGCTCTCTTAATATTCATTAAATCAACAAACCCCATATTGTCATTATTGTAAAATCGTGCAAGTCGAACCAACATCTCCTCTCCCCAAAAGCTAACAACACCTCTCCCCAGCTCCACTTTTGTCATTGTATATTTTCTAATTCATACCTAAGGAAAGGTCATACGAAACCTAAAACCATTCAGAACTAAAAATGTATAGTGATATTTTCATCTGAAAGATGGTTGGTTACCAGTTAACAGATTTATGTACATGAAAGGACTGTATTATTTCACAGGACCACCAATCCAAACGTTTTAACTCTAGAGTATAATTATATTCATTTATAGACAGAATTAGAGTGTGTAATTTACGTGACATAATTTTTAAGCGGGATGCCAATAAGTATACCTTACACTACCAAGAAGTAAGACATCTTTCTCTGTCAGTCTGCTATTTACACAGATAATTGACTTTGTCTAGACCAAACCATATATCACAGACACCATTAGAATACTCAAATATCAATATAACAAATAATCTCAAAAAATCTAATTAACCAAAAAAACAGGATTCATTGAAATAAAATTACTTTGACCATATGTTTTGATCTTTACAAACTAAATAACAGTTTCCCTGTATGTTTAACAATAATCAAATTTTGCTAATAATACTGTAAATTCAGAAATTATTGCGTGCATTTATTATTGCGATTTTGTCATTTAAGACTAAAATGTGATTTTATATTTTGCGATATTGAGAAAAATCCTGTTTAATTCATATAAAAAATTTCAAAATGCAAGTTTAAATTATTGCGATTATAACCCTGTTGCATTTTTCACAATAATAAAAACATCGCAATAATTTCTGAATTTACAGTACTTGTAAATAAAATTGCTACTAAACAGGTAAAAAACTGTAATTTTAACTATATTAATTGATTCAAATTGTTCTTTTCGAATGTCAGA